AGCAGCCTGGGCCTGTTTCAGAGTCATCTTCTATTATGGGCTCCATTCAAATTAGCAGCTTTTTAGGTCACTTGGTTAATGGGTTGGAGTAACACACCCAAATGAGAAATATGTTGCCTAAAATATATAGAGGACCATTGGGCATTCTGCTTCTTTTTGGATTTTAGGAGGTGTCAGATGCAACAAGTTACCTTTAACCTTAGAAGGGATATCTCAACATGCTCCACACTACTGGACCCCTAGAAATTTCACTGAGATAGAAAGGCCCTGAATTTGTGTCAAATTTATTTCCCACCCTCTGGCACACAGGTGTCTTGCCAGTAAGTTTAGAGCGTTGCTACTTCTTGTTCAGAAGGTTCAGTAAGCATAATGTCATCAACATAATGGACCAGTGTGATGTTTGTGGATGGGGAAGTGATCAAGATTCCTGAAAACTAAATGATGACATAAAGCTGGAGAGCTGGCATGCCCCTGTGGTAGAAAAGTGAAGGTGTATTGCTGGCCTTGCTAGCTTAAGACAAACTGCTTCATGTGCACCTTACGGAAAGGGATGGAGAAAAAAGCATTTGCCAGATTAATAGCTGCATCCAAGGTACCAGGGAATATGTCAATATACTCAAGCAATGAAATCACACGTGGTACTGCAACTGCATTTAGAGTTGCCACCTGGTTAAGTTTATGATAATCCACTGTCATTCTCCAAGATCTATCTTCTTTACAGTCCAAATAGGTAATTTAAATGGGGATGTGGTGGGAATCACAACCCCTAAATCATTTAAGTCCTTGATGTTGACACTAAACTCTGCAATCCCTCCAGGAATGCAGTATTGCTTCCAACTTACTGTTTTCCTAGGTAGAGGCAGTTCTTGTGGCTTCTACTTGGCTTTTCTCACCTCACTCCACAGCTCTGGCAACCAGTATGTGGATTCCACTAGCTAATCAGTATGTCTATTCCAATTATGCATTCTAGAACTGAGAAAATAACCTCAGTTATAACAAATAACTCTGTAATAACCCAAGATTGATCTGGGGACTCACTGAACCTACTGTGAGAAGGACCTGAGCTACACTCCTTTGACATCCTGACCTCCCTAGTTCCCTACTCTGACTAGAGGGACATAATGCCATTTTGGGTCTCCTGGAAGCATTGTCAGTTCAGAACCATTGTCTAGTACTCCCCAAAAGGTCTGATTATTTCCTTTCTCCAAGGCACACTTACCCTAGAAAGGCCATAGGTCCCTTTATGGCAGTCTGGGAGAAAGATTGACAGTATAAATTTTGGTAGTATACTAAGGTCCTTTTTCAAAGGGACCCAGCCTCCCCTTCACTCAATGAGTTCTGAGTTTTGTAAGCTAGCTTAAGTCTGGAAAATGATTGACGGATCATGACTCAATTTTTTAATTCATGTTAGATTTTTTTCCACTTGACCTAGAACTTTTCTACGTACACAAATCAAATGAGAATTTAATAGGCCTCCTATCTGTTTAACTTCTAAGAACATTATGATCAACTAGCCAATACCTTAGCTTCACAAGGGTCAGACTATTTTGACTGCTGCTTTGACTTTTTGTCGTTCATTAAGGCAACCACACTCATCTTTTCATTGGCTGTCGAGCTTGCCTCTTTGCCCCTGCTACTCTGAAATCCAATTATTCTCATCACATTTACATTTCCCTATTCAGTGGCTGCAATTTCCACTAGAGAAGGGTTTGATCTGTAGAGAAGAGCAAGCACAGAGCTCCTCAAGGATGCTGAAACTTTCCTCACAAATTGCTTGCTGTAGTGGTGAAAGGTGTGTCTTCTGGACACTCCCAGTGTGAGGGACTAGGTCTTAAATGACAAATTCACTCTACCATTCCAATCTCCTTTGAATATCTTTTCTACATTAAGCCAAGGCAGTTCTGGCATTTTTAACTTTCTCCTCGTGGGCCACTTTTTGTCCATGTTTCAGCCAATCAACCAAACAAGTAGTTAGAGCCATTTCTAACTCCCTGAGCTGCACCATTAAATGCAGAATCTCTGCTTAGTGAGCCTATATCAGTAAATTTGGCCTAATTCAACTTTTTGTTTCTTCCACCATTACCCTAGACCTTTAATATCCATACTACACAGGTCCCCTGGATTTCTGCTTGTAGAAATAAGAAAACTCAAGTCATTCTTTTGGAGTGTAGCACATTTCTTCATGGGTCACACTTTGTACCTGGACTTTAGGGACCTTCTGGAACTTGAGTCTAGTTGTAGGTCTAGAAGCAAAGAAGAGTGGTGGAAGTGGGTCCCCTAAAAAGACTCAGCATTATCTTGCTTGGCAGGGGAGGCAATTAGTTTCCTCTGGCAATGTAGGGTAGACACACACACACACACACACACACACACACACACACACACACACACACACACACACACACAATACCAATTATTTTATCAAGGGGAAAATTTTAGATCTGTCCTAAAATTTCTTTATGTATTTAATCCTGTGATAATTTTTAAGATAATTCTGCTAAAGCAAATTCTTTGATAGGGTAGGCTAGTAACATACATTTACTAAAATGGGAGATACTAAAAAACAGCAAGGAAAGTACTCCAGTTATGAAATAACAGCTGAATTTTATGGAAATATGACATATCTGGAATAGGGCTTTTGTTCACGTTTGGACCCAGAGATACCTCCCTGGGTAGATGACTGATGCTTTTCCTGGGCGATAGGAATGTGAGGAAGGCAAGGTGAGTAGCTTAGATGGAGACAGGGGAATGGAATGCACGCACTAAGTAAGGCTTCTTTGGTTCTTTGAACCAAAGATAAGCTGGTGAAGCTGAATTAAACAAGAATCACACAAACAAGCTGTTGTTGCATGCAGGTGGACCAGGGTGGAGGCGGCCAGTTCTGCAGTAGCTCTAAAGTTGCCAGGGTGGAATAACTGGGGAAAAGTAGAGCTAAAAGAGCAAATTTACATACACAATGCTGGATCAAGAGGAGAATTCCTCCAAATGTCAGTTCAGAGTAATTGACAGTGCAAATATTTGATTCGGAAGTAGCCCATCTTATTCTAATGAGCAATAATTCTGAAAGAATCAATACAGCATGTAAACAAAGATTTTACAAGAAAAAAGTAGACAAGTAACAAGATCAATAATTAAAAACTGGAAAAATATCAAACAGCAGATGAAAAGCTTTTTTTAAATTCATTGGAGCTATTTTATCTATAAAATGTGATCTCAAAGGAGAGATATAAGAATTTAGTAAAAAAATGGTGCAGCTCAGGAAAAAAGTAGAGTGTTTAAAATACTCTGAAAGGGCCAAAAGAATGTTGAAAACAGTGCATAGAAAGTGAATACTGCTAAAAATGTGGTAAAGTGAATTAAGGGCCAGATTGAGGTAAACTAGAAAGATTTTTGAAACTAGATAAAATGTAAGCATTACTGATATCACTAAAGAAGAGAACCAAAATAATAGAAGAAAATATGTAAATAAATTTTAATAAAATGTTCCATGAACATAGATTCAAAAGCAGACTATGTCCCTAGAAAAATTAAGTCAATCAATAATGAGCTCTTTCCTTGTAAAGTTACTTAGTTTCAAAAATAAACAAAGAATCCTTTGGAAATCCAGAGAGGGAAGAAGAGTTTCATTTGATCTACATAGGAGAAAAAAAAAGTAGCTAACTCTAGCTTTTTTCCACAACAAAGCTAGATGATAATCAAACAATGTCTATAAAATCCTTGTGAAAACTATACCTCAAGAATATCATATGCAGCCAAACTTTAACTCAGTGTAACAGTTTTAATGTGAAAAAAATCAAGGAATATGATTCTTATGAGTATCTCCTAAATAAAGTCAAAGACAATGAACTTTAGCTCAACAAGATATGAATGGAGAAAGTCTGGCAATATGCACAGAATCTATTTAGATGAAGGGCTAAGACGTGAAAGAAGTAGGGTTATTCTTACAGAACTGAATATAAATATTATACATCTTGAAAGTATAAAAATGATGTAGCTAATAACAATTATAACAAAAATAAAAGGGGAAAGTTAATAAACACATTGATTTCATTTTTTAAACCTAGGTGTTATTAAAGCAAACAAGCACTATAAATACAACTGCATAAACGTTTCATTAAGTAAAGTAATTAAATCAACTAAAATTGTATGAGGAGTGACAGAGATGAGAAAATAGAAATGAACTAATTTCATCTTTGCTCCTAGTTGGGAATCAACAGATTCTAAAGCTTTGAGGAATAAATTATTATAAGAAGTTATTATAATCCTAAACATCATTACAACAGGAATATAAATCTTTTTATTAAAGAAACACACAAAAACACCACATCGCACACATTCAAAGGGGAAAAACACCAAATAATAAAATATTTAACAACAACAAAGGCATATACAAAATATAGTGACAAAATCTGTTATGTAATAAATGATAATGGATTGAAATCATGTAGAAAGAGAAAGAAATATGGTAAAATTACTAATAAAGTCCAGCAATATGCTACATACTAGAAACACTTATAAAACAAAGTATCTCGAAAAGGTTGCAAATAAACAGATAGAAAAAAGGTATACCAAAAAAATAATAAACAACCACAAAGTAGGTGTTGGGATTTTAATGCAGACAAACTAAAATTTCAGGCTTTAAATTCAGCTTTACAGCAGTAAATGTGATTTTTTTTTTTGAAAATGTATCACATTATGAGAAAGTTTATAATCCATTATGATGATAAAATAATTATGAAAATCTATGTGGTAATAAGAATTCTAACACGGCTCCCAATATTCCTGTCCCCATAGTATCCACGTCTTGTATCAATCCCCCCACCTGAAGCTGAAATACTAAGAAAGGAAGGTTATGCGATGAAGCTCTGAATATGGTGGGAAATCATTCTCATGATTATGTTATATAACATGGAAGAAAGAATTGTACAGCTCTAATTAAGGTTACTAATCAGTTATCTTTGAGTCAAAGGAAGAGTATTTGAGTGGTCTGAATTACTCACATGAGCCTTTTAAGTCTGGGTCTGGACGCTGGAGACAGAAGTCAGAGATTAGTAGTGTGAGATGGCTTCTGGAACGGGTCACATGGCAAGAAACTGCAGACAGCTTCTAGATGCTGAGTGTAACCCTCAGCCACAGCCTGAAAAAGAATAGAGTCTTCAATCTGACTGCCTCAAACAATTGAATTTTGCCAACAATCTAAGTGACCTTGAAAGAGAACTCTGAACCTTAAATGAGATAGCACTCCCAGGTGACATCTTGAGTCCAGCTGTGTGAGACCCTGAGCAGACTACACTAAACTGAGACTGAACCTTCTGACCTACAGACACTGAAATAATAAGTAGGTATTTGCAAGCCATTAAATCTGTGATAAATTGATGCATAGCTATAGATAATTAACACAATCCTCATACTATAATATACCATAGTGCCATCCAAATTGATAGAGCAAAACAAAACTATAGGAAAGCTTCTGGTTTATGTACTAATACATGATACTTTTTTGCAGCATTAGTAATGGAAGACTTTAATTCATCTGTCAACAAGTCAACAAGGAATCCAAAAACAGGTAAGACTTTTAGGACATATAGATAGCAATAGGAGGAGGTATTTTTGTGTCTATGTGTTTGTATGAGTGACAGATGACAGAGAGAATCCTGTATATCATTCTGTATCCATGATAAAAAAGAATGTGCCTTTTTCCCCCCCAATACCTGTACAACATTCACAAAAGTAACCATATGTTAGGCTAGAAATTTCTGTATAAATTCCTAAAAGTAGAAATAGAAGACATATTCTGATTACAGTGCAAAAAATTAGAAACTAACAATGAATTCATAAAACAAGTGAAAAACAACCTACCACTTGTCAAGTAAATTTTCTATTTTAAACAATGCATGGATAAAAGAAAAATTAATAAGTAATTACATAGTATTGATAATACTACGTATCAAACCCTATAGTATACAACCAAAGGGGTCACAGAGAAAAATTCATAGCCTTTAATACTTAGAAAAATAAACCAGAAAAGAATGAGAATATAATGAAATCAAGTATCCAAAGCAAGAAGTTATAAAAATAAAACAAAATAAATCTAAGGAAGGCAGAAAGAAAATGACACATATAAAGATGAAGTTGAATGTTTAAATTCAGGAAGAGAAAAATAGTAGGACTAATAAATTCAAAATCTTGTATTTTGTTCATAATGAAACGGGCATTCTAATATTTTTCCCCAAATCTATATTCCCGCCCTAATTATGTGGAAAACAATCAAATAAATCCAAATTGAGGTACATTTTACAAAATACACAACCAGTGCTCTTCAAAACTGTCAAGGTCATAAACAAAGAAAGATTGCGAAACAGTTAAGAGACCAGAGGAAACCAAGGAGACATGCTGACTAAATGCAACATGGAATCCTGGACCAGGTCCTAGAACAAAAAGAGCATATTAGTGGAAAAATAGGTGAAATCCAAATACAGTCTGAATTTTAGTTAATGTAATTGTACTAATGTTAATTTCTTAGTTTTGAAAAAATGTGCTATGATTATGTAAGATGTTAGTTAACATTGGGGGGAACTAATTGAAGGATATAGGAGAATTTACTGTCTTTGCAACTTCCCTATAGACCTGAAATATTCCAAAGTAAAAAGTTTATTATTAAAAAAAAAAAAAGATCTAGAAAATCTAAATATAACAATTAAAAAGAAGACACAAAATAATTATCAAAGGGCTACCTCCTCCAAACAAGCAAAGAAACACATAACAGGCTCTAAAAATTTCATAAGGCAATTTATCAATCATTTCAGTAACTGATAACTCAACTTCTAATTAAACTATTTTGATAACATTGAAAAATTTAAAAGCCCCTCATACTCTTTCCCATGAAGTTATAATTCAAACAAAATTATATTTTCCCTTCTGATTTTAATATATGCATTTATTTCTATTTTCAAATAATATTTGATGATACTTCCAGAAATGGTAAATGACCATGGTAATGATAATCTTTGTTGTATTCTATACCTTCATAAGAATGCTTCTGATTGTTTTTTAATTACACCTGGCACTGACTTTTTTAACTATCACATTAATATATGAACTACATATCCATTGTATTTTAAAATGTTATCAAGTTTATATTTAAAATCTTATGAATTTTGAACTCAAAAATTATTGTGTAGGGTTTCTTCTTTAGCGATTATAGATTCTCTTTTATTGAACCACCCTCTGTGTAATAAATACTACTTGGGTATAGTGTTTTAATCTTTTAAAGTGCTGCCATATGCCTGAACCCAGGAGGCGGAGGTTGCGGTGAGCCGAGATCGCGCCATTGCACTCCAGCCTGGGTAACAAGAGTGAAACTCCGTCCCAAAAAAAAAAAAAAAGTGCTGCCATAGTCTGCCTGCTAATCTTTTTGTTAAGTGTTGTCCAGTAATACTCATAGTAAATTTGTCTTTAGTTTTAGTGCATGTGTGCATGTCCTTGTTGAGTTTGACATCAAGGTCATAGTAGCTTCAGGTTTGGAAATAAGGTCCCATTAAGATGATAAGAGGCTATGCTCATTCCCTTTTAACTAGTCTCCTTCTTTCTGGCTAGTGACTAATCTCCAGATTCTGCAATATGGCATGAAATGGCATCACATGGTAAGTGATATTCTATAACGATGTCAACATAACTAAAATCTCTTGGAAAAAATAAACTTTTTACTGTCTCCATTATAAGGATGTTACAAGTAATGTTTAACATATGTGTGTGGGGTAGAAAGGGCGAAAAAAGGCAATTTGGTTAAAAATTGTTTTTACCTTGTATGTCCCTGCACCGCAATTTCTTCCTCACTTTCTCATGTTCCTGTAAATGACCTTCAGTACTAATTCAAAAGGATGAAACATTTTACCCATCCTACTATTTATCCCACTCACCCTCCATCAACTCACTGGTCTCTAGGATAGTCTCCTCACTCATATTTTCCCTTCCATCATCACGTGGAAACTCTTTCCACCAAATTGAAGCCCCTTCTAAATAGCCTCTGATTGAATGATATTATTCCCTTATTTGAGAACCATTCTAAGTTTGCATTTTTCCTTTTCCATTTGTCTTATTGTTTTCTAGGCCTGTGGCAGATTTCTTCTCTTTGATCTCTTGAGAGCAGAGACTGTGATTATTCATCTTTGTGTTCTCTGCAGTGTGTAGCAGAATATTGTCTTGGTGGATATTCTTCAGTAGTTTTTCAAAATTGTATTAAAATTATGAACCTCTAATAGACTCTACTATTATTTTAATTTACATCAAAATTAACACAGAAGAAATAGTGGAGGACTATCATAAGAAAATATGTAATCTCTCTTTAGAAAAGAAATGCTTCAGTGTGAATATTAAAACTTTTCCAGACTATTTCTTTATAATCCTTAGGTCAAAGTCACTGACAATTAAAGCAAAACTTTGATAACGTTTAGTGGACAAATTGATTTTTCCAGTCAGGACATCATAAGAGTCATTAATAAAACCACGTTCGATTAAACAGGGTCTTTTAATCTTTTCCCATTTGCATAGTCCAAAGAGTCAGACAGATGCAGTTTAGAATTTCACTCATTCAATAGTTCATTCATTTATTCAACAAATATTTATTGAGAATCTACTACGCATTAAATATTATGCTATCTTTTTGAGAAACAAAGTAGAATAAAATCCAAACACTAGCCCCAAATTGCTTATAATCCAATAGGAGAGATTTTTAAAATTCAGCAGTTAGAAACTGCTATAAGTTATGAAGAAGTTACAATATTCAGAAAATGATGGAAGTATATTTGAAGGCACATTCAAATATGACTTTGGGCCAGAGAAGACTTGAGCTGAACTTTGAAGCATGAGTAGAATGCCTAGATGAAGGTGCAGTACATTCCAGGAAGAGGAAACAGCACCTGTAAAGTCGGAGAAAGAAAAAGCAACATACATTTGTAGAATTATAGATTTTAGCTATGGTTTTCCAGGAAGCAGACTGTAAAATAATAGTGGATGTGCTCTTTGGATGAACACTTGGATTAATAGTGGAGGCAAAGTGTAAGAAGCAGAACTGGGTACAAGGAGGTGTTGAGCTGCAATGCATTTGCAAAACTGGTATCAGCTACTTCTGCAGGGTGCTCTGTAACTGGGCATTTCATCCCAGTTGACCCTCTTTGAGGCAAGGAGGCTTGGTCTTTATTTCCCCATGTCAACAAATCATTAAATATAGTTTGCCCCCAGAGAGGGGATATGATCTTAGGTAGCGAGGCTCTTTGGCTAAGGGAATTCTCAAGAATACTCATCTAAGAACTCTCAGCTGCCAACACTTCCACAAGCTGAGGAAAGAGTATTTCAATATTGAAATGGAGAGGGGTGGTCTAAACAGAACCCCGCAGCATCTATCTAAGACAAAAATTGTATCTAGAATGAAGACTAGTCAAGAGGAAATGATAGGAGCTGTGGCTAGAGAGGTAAGCACAGATTTAGTCATGAAAGTTCCTTAAAGCTTTGCTAAAAAGTTCAAAACAGTGGGGACTTATATCAGGAGAGTGGTGTTGCTCCATCAAAATTATAGACGATGAAACACAAAGAGACTCATTATAAGTAACAACAGACATCTGAGTTAAAGGGTATAATTGAGGGCTAATGGCTGTTGGGAACCCCTGCACATGGGTCCAGTGGGCTTGTGTTTCAAAAGTCAAAAACAACAACAAAAACAAAACACAGCATAGTGGGGATCTTCCAGAACATGCAGCTGGGCCTTAAAAGTGACACTGCCCTAGTGGACTGAGTTCTTTATCAGCAGGGCTGTTGGAGGCACCACCTGCCGGGTCAGAATGAATCACCAACAGGAAGGTGACAATAAATTATTTCATGGATGAACCAAAAAATAAAAATATTTCCCTTAATTCGTCAGCCACCCACAACTCCACAGACACAAAGACAGGGAACATGGGAAAGGGTACAGAGAGGTGTGAGAGAGGGAAATCCCTTCCCCATTCCAATGATAGTAAAAATAGCTAAAACTTATCTAGTACCTATAACATGTTAGGCATACTCTAAGTGCTTTAAATGAATAACTCACTTAATCCCCACAGCAGTCCTATGAGGTAAGTACTATCTTGAAAATGGGGAAACAGAGGCAGAAAGTGACCTGCTCATGGTCACATAGCTAGCAAGTGGCAGAGCCAGGCTATAAACTCGATCCTGGCTGCAGAGTTGCTAGTCTAAGCACCAAGTTATACTGTGTTTACCCTAAAACCAAAGTCCTTGCCTGCTCTAGGGATCAAGGAAGACTTCTGTACAAACAATAACATTGAAGATTTTAAATAAACAGGATTCAGTATTAACAATAATGATGATGCTGTATTAATAACCAAAAGAGATGGAGAATTTATGAAATCAGACTTAGAATAGTCCATAAGGGAGATGGACATCTATCAGAGAAATATAGGACAAGGAAGTTGGCTGACAAGAGGGACACAGAGCACAGTGGCAGCAGTTATAGGAAAACATAGAACCAAGTCATATATACATACATATACATATATATATGACTTGTGTATATATATATACACATATCTTAGAGACTGAAACTGCTCATTCAAAAAAGTGTCATTAACATTCCTATATCGCATATCCTATTGCTAGGAAGATGCACAGGAAAGTAGTAACAACTGCAGACTCTAGGGATGGAAATTAGGGGACAGGAGCCAAAGAAGGGGAAGACTTGAAGACATTGTTCACTGTTTACACTTTTGTACTGTACAGCACATGCTGTACAGTATTACCTTTTTACATGTTCAAATAAATAAATAAGGTATACTATTTTAAAAGTCCAAAGACATGCTTCTATGAATAATCTAAGTTTTATTGCTGGATCAAACTATATCTATATTTTGATGTAGTCTATATCTATGTTTATAATCTATCTTTTGCTCTGTAAAGGGGCTATCTACTATGCATGTTTGTAAATGTCCTTCACCCTTAAATCCTCCATTTTGTCTTAATTTTTATTCTTTAGTTTCTTTTAGCCTTTATTTTTATACCATTGAATTGTTTTTCTGTCTCTAAGCCACTGAAAATTCCCCTTTTTTCCCTAGTGTGGGAGGGGAATCCTAATGAATAAATTGAAAGGTATCTTCCTATGTGGATTTGAAGGAATTTTAAAATAGAGACTTGCCCTCAGTTAGAGATGACCACACTAAATTTTGATAGTTGGGTATATACACTGTTAGAGAAGTAGAATAGTCCAAACACAATTATTGCCAATAGAGTGATAAGGAGTTTTGTTGAAAATATAAAGAGCACAGAAAATTTAGAAAGTGCAAAGAGTTAATTGATGGCATTCCAATTACAGAAACTAATTAATTAATTCCATCAGTTTGTCTCTATAGGAATAACAGGACTTAGGGAACTAGCTCCTAAGCATGCATAGTAAAACTGTGGTTCTAAGAAAGCAAAGACTGGACTACCATTCCAGGTCTTAATTTGTTTTTCAGAACAGAGTCTACATTTCTCTTAGCTGTGGAAAAGGTCAACTTCAGAAACCCAATTATATTCAAAAGAATGACACAGACTTAGGTTGGAAATAGGAGTTGCAAGCAGAGAAAAGCAGGTAGTCAAATGGCTCACTGGAAACAAAGCATAAACTTGCTTGATGTAGAGGTCAGAATTTGAGTTTAAACTGAGTTCTTGCTAGCACTGAGGCATGTCTGTGCCACTCAAGATAAGGCAGGACTGGCAGGATGGAAGAGCCTGCAGGGAAAGACACCTTCTAGATGAAGCTTATTAAGGTGTATGAATGTGATTCAAAGACGGTGGGCTAGTATGAGAGGTTGATGAGTGATTCTCACTATATTAATAGCACAGTCTAGCTGCTAACTCCTATAAAGACAGGACTGTTGTAAAAGAGAGCAAAACAATGACCATCTAAAATGATGAGGGTGAATTCAGTCACCTGTGACTTTAACTATAAAGGGAGAACACCTTTTGTGTAGAATCTAGTTCTTTAGATAATGGGTTACAGTAGCCATGGGACTGTAATTAACAAGCACTAGCAACAGGATCAAAGCTTTTGACAGGTGGCAGAGGCAGCAGCAGCTTTTGACTTGAGCAGGGATAGGCAATGTCAACACATCAAGTTATAGCAGTAAAGGAGGTATCAGACAAATCTTCAACTACTACAGATAGCTCAGATGTATAACACAAAACATTTTTTAATCTATCCAATTATTTCTGTTTTTCAAAAATATATTAGCTACTTTTAATTATTTACACTTTCCGAGGAACTTTGGAATACACTTGTCAAATTCCATAAGAATTTCTCTTGGCATTTTGATTTAAAACACTGATTTTGTAGATTAATTTATGAATACTTCCTTAAACCATTGTCTTGTCATCAGAAACATGTTTTATTTCTTGATACTTACTTGAATATTTAGTAAAGATTTTTCTTTACTAAAGTGTAAAATGTATGATATGCAAATATATTCTCTCAGTATACGGTTTGTCTTATTTTTCTTAATGGTGTCCTTTGAAGAGCAAAAGGTTTAGTTTTGATCAAGTCCAATTTATCATTTTTTTTCTCTTTTGTGGGCCATGGTTTTAGCATTGCATCTAAAAAAAAAAAAAAACTTTTCTAACCAAAAATGGTCAATATTTCAATATTTTATCCTCTAAAAGTTTTATAGTTTTAGCTCTTACGATTATATTTATGAGCCATTTTATGTAGGTGCAAGGTAAAGTATAAATTCATCTTATTGCATTAAACATTTATTGTCTCATTCTTATGTTTGTAACATAAAGTCTTGTAGCATTGGCCCACAAGTTTCTAGCTTTCAGAGCTTAAGGAGATTTTCTTCATGAAGTGGAAATATGATTAATTTAAAATGCTTTTATAGTCTTACAAAAAATCGCATCCTCTTATTTTTAAAAGCCATGCAATATAGATTAGAAAAAGAAAGGAAAAACAAAGAAAAAAAGAAAGAGAAAACAAGAGAAGAAAGAAAGAACCACCGTGTAAAGAGTCATCACCAATTATTATTTCAACCATTTCTCTAGGCCACAAGTCATTTTCTCTTAAAAAAAACAAAACAAAAACGGAAGGCATAACTTAGATTATTTTGTGGCATCCATTATGACTGATGAAAAACATGATGGGGTCCGATTCTCTAGCCTTTGTCACCTGGATTCTTTCCCTAGAAGCCTTTATCTTTATTTTTGGTAAACTGGAATTTTATAAAAATGTGT